ATAAAACGTGTGGGAACAAACCTAAATAATGTGATTACAATAACAAATTAAAGTAAAACAATCAAACACAATCAATGTGTTACAATCAAGTATTAATATCACTAAGAAATTACAGAAATTTCTAATGACAACACTAATGTGAAGTTTTAATTACACTTTCCTACACTTGCCTTAATTCCAAGCCAATCAACCGAACATGAACATGAGAATTGCAACGTCTCTTGAGACTTTGATCTTGATACACTGTCAAAGGCATATGAATACTTTCCTAAAGGGATTAATTTCCCCCACACGGTGCTAGGGTTAATCCGAAAATTTCCTTTGAGATACAATTGACAGCACTTTCCGTTCTTAGCACAAAGAATCGAAAAACCGATGGATGATTCACAAAGAAGGCTAAAATCAAGAGATTTTTCTCAAAATAGTTTGCAAGAAAATTTAGAGAAAATATGGAGAATTGTTGCGGAGAAGAATAGAGAATAAAGTTCTGTATATTTTGTTTCGAAAAACTCATTCTTTAAAAAATAGAATCAACCGTCGTATAAAACCGCAAAACGGCAAGAAGCGCGGGCGCGAGCGAAGAGGCGCGGGCGCGCCACCAGAGCAGCGCAGGCGCGCCACCAACTCGCGCGGGCGCGCCACCAACTCGCGCGGGCGCGCCTCCTTCTTTGCCTAAAAACTTCGGTTTTCCAGAAATTTAGCGCGATTTATGCGCGGTTTGGGCGCGGGTCGCGCCATGCCATGTCGCGGGCGCGCCTCCAAACTTTTCCAGATTTTCCAGAAACTCATCGCGGTTTATGCGCGGTTTAGTCGCGGGTCGATCGCGATTCCATAGAGCGAACGCTCCACTCCGACACTCTAAATTATCAACACTTGATCTGGTCAAGATCGGTTGTTTCTCCACTAGGGCCGGCTGCGACCACAGTGGGCTTGACATCAGAGAGGTAGCACTCTCTGGCCATCTTCTGGTCTCCGCGTAGGGAGCCAACTGTTCCATCATCCCTCTCAAACTTGAGAAGCATAAGAGAAGGGATGATAACAGCTTTGGATTCATTCAGGGTAGGGCGCCCTAAAATCATGTTGTAGGCCGTCAGTTCTTCAACAACTAAGAACCGGATCACCATGTGGCGTCCCTCCCCTTTCTCACCCAGACGAATGGGTAGGTCTATTCGACCTACCGGATGTACCACACCACCCCCAAATCCTACTAAGGGATGAGAGACCTGATGCATACTCTCGGGCTTGGCCAGGCACTTGTGGCTGATGAGGTTAGACGAACTTCCAGTATCAATGAGGATCCGGCCAACTCTTTAGTTGGCCACTTTGCATCCGATGACAATAGGATCATCATGCGGCCTCTTGATTTTTCCCTTGTCCTCCTCAATGATAACGACTTCGGGGAAGTAGTCCTTGGACGCCTGTCCCTCGTCTACTGAGTTAACATCGAGGCGCCTGACATAGTCTTTATTACCCCGGATGGTAGGGCCGCCTCCAGCGAAGCCGCCTACTATTGTATAGATCGGAGATTCATCCGTATCCGAGCTATTAGCAAAGTGAGGCTTCTTCTTGGATGACTGTCCAGGGTTGGTCTGCAAGGTAACCTTGGACCTCAAGATGTAAGACTTGAGGACTCCTTTATCAGCCAGACGGTCCAACAGCTGCTTGAGGCTATAACATTCGTTGGTGTTGTGGTCAATATCCTCATGGTAATGGCAGTATTTGTTTTTGTTCCGATTCTTGGCGGAACCCTTCATAGGAGCCGGCTTGTCAATAGAGACCCGGTCCTTTATCACCATGAGGATGGAGTAGCAGTCCGTATTGAATTCGTACTTTGGGGAGTACGTCTTCACTTCTCTCTTTTTCTTCTAGGACGGCTGTTCAGACGATTCACCCACCTAGACTTGTTTTCTTTTCTTTTCTTCTTTCTTAGCCGGCCTTGATGGCCAACTTTCTTTTTTGTCGGACTTCTTTGAGACAGACTGCTTACTGATGTTGCAGAGTTCGATCGCTTGTATATAGGCATTCGCCTCCATCAATGCCTTTTGGAGGATTGCCACCCTCTTTCTGACGAGGTCGAACATGAAGGCCGACCCGTCCTTCAGACCTTTGAAAAAGTCTGTGTAGGCTACTTCATCAGATAGCCCTTGAATCTGAATCTTCATCAAATTGAAGCGCCTGATATATGAGTGCAGCCCCTCCTTCTCTCCCTACTGTATGGCACCCAAGTCAAGACTTGTCTTCTTTGCAGGGATATTCATTGAGAAGTTTGACGCGAAGGTATGCCAGCGTCTTAAAGTTATTGATGCATCCGGCTGGCAGGTTGCCGAACCATTGCTGGGCGACGCCCTTCAATGTGGCCGGGAAGCATCTACACCAAGTAGCATCATCCAACCCTTGTAGATACATAAGGTTGGTGTATGCCATCATATGGTCTTCTGGGTTGGAGGTACCGTCATAAGTTCCTACCAACACATTCTTTACCTTGGCCGGCTGTGCGGCCTCAGTTATTTCCTTGGAGAAAGCTGAAGGTTGTTCCCCAAGTTTGAGCAGTCATAGCTGCCAATCCAAAGGCTGGATGTTGGGTGCCGCCTGCCTCCCGAAGAGGGTAGGCTGCATATAATGTGGTCCATACGGCATGTATGGCTGTTGAGGCACATACGGGGTCACCTGGAACATATGAGGACTAGAATGGGCAGACTGGCCGCCTGTCTGGTCTTCTTGGTTTGATTGTGAATACCTCAGCGAGGCATTCTGAAAACTGTCATTGAAGTTCGACGTGGAAGCCAACTCTGACAGTTGCATATTCTTCTTTTGTTGGATTATCATCCGAGCATCGGAATTTGTTTTCTTGGAACCATCCGGGTGTATATGCCGGATGGCCTTCCTCTGCCCTGGCTCAAGGAACTGCAGTCCAGCCAAGTTTATCAAAGGCTTACGCCCCCCTCTTGGTTTAGGGTAAGGAGTGGCTTCTCGGTCTTTGACCGACTTCTTCCTCCCTAAATAAGAGGGTTTCTTGCCCGACTGTTCCTTGGTAGGGACAGCCGTCCGTTTATCAATAAGATCCTTTATCTCCCCTTTAAAACTTGTCATGAGGGTCATGAGCTCGTTTCTAGTGATGGGGGTGGATCCTTCAGCCATCTGAGGCTGACCTGCCGGCTGGCCGACTGTTTCACTGGGACCTGCCTGGTCAGTGTTCCGCTCCCTCCTTTCGGTGGGACGGATGCGCTGTGTCCTGAGGGACCCGTCAGGAGCCGTATGGGTGGCGACTTCATAGTCGTCATCCGTATCTTGTTCTGAGAAGACCTGGACGTCGGCTGTAGGCCGCTTCTCATTAAGAGGTGGTACAGGTTCTTGTGAAGTCATCTTTGAAGTACTCTCCCCACAGACGGCGCCAAATGTTTCGGGGTTTTTTTATGTCCTTCGGGAAAGTTACAATTCCAAGATTGACCTCTGGATGCCTGTACCTGGAAAACAACGGAGACTCTGATGGGTAGGAGCTCCGCCTCCGACGATCAAGTTAGAACGTGTACGAGGAGTAAAGTGCGGAATGTAAAGGGTCTCTCTCGGATTCCAGGAGAGAATCTGCAATGTGGAATTGCTCAGTTCGAGGTGTCAGATGTCTGACTTTCTCTGATGAAGAGTTAATGTGTATTGAATATTTCTGAATATCCATTCCTATGAGGGAAACATCTCCCTTTTATAGGGTGTTGGAAAACGTGCCCAATACGAGGTTTTAGTAAACCTAAGGCTGATTGGGCTTTGCCTGGAACTTTGGACCGTAAGAGGCCACTTGCTCAGTTGGCAATTCTGCTTGCCACGTGTCGTGACCTGATTGGTCCACCTTGGACCTCTCACGAGGTGACACGTGGCGGACTTTGATAGGTCCACGTGGATGACACGTGGCAGGATACCATTGGTCCACGTGGCGGGAAAAAAATCCCCTAATCAAGTATAACTATTAATTGTCAGATAATATAAAACTCCAATTTCCATTGATCAATATTTATACTGTTACGATGAGAGTCCTAATCATATAACAATATATGTAAAGATATTATAAAGATAATTTTATACAAAAGAATATTTGATGAATATTCTCTATCATTAATGAACTAAGAAAGTTTAAATATACTTTATACAATACTTTTTCTGTATGGTGGTCGGGGTTACTTATTTAGGGGTTTCTCAGTCGGTCAAGCGTGGTCGGGGTTACTTATTTAGGGGTTACTCAATCAGTTAGTGCGTTTTTTGTTTGAGAATAACCCCTAACCAACCAAATAACCCATGCCCAGGTAGCCCCTGACCAACCGAGTAACTCATGAATAAGTAACCTCTGACCGAGTAACCCCTGAATAAGTAACTCCACAATAAGTAACCTATGAACAAGTAACCCCGGCCACACGGTGTGGCCAGCCACATAAAAAATTTGTGTTCACATAGAATATTTCTCTAAACAATTTCCTACAATATTGCTAAAGCTAAAATAAATTCCCTTATTGCTTCAGTTTAAAAATAAATTCCCATAGTATTGTCTACGTATGATCGGACTTAAAACCGTTAATGACACTAGCGGCTCTTTTTGCAATATGCAAAATTCAAAGAGACTAGTTATTAGTAAAACAGGTCTCTTTTCTTACTCACTAAATGACAAGCTCACTATATGCAGGTAAGCGAAGGTAGGTGATGAATCCAAAGAGATCCGACTTCTTGTTTAACAGGTCTCTTTTATTTCTTTCTAAAAAAAATTCACTGACCCTTATAACTATTAAAAATTAATGTTGTTAGCGGTTTTATATACTTCCTCCGTTTTTTAAATATTGCACCAATTGTATTTTGAGAAAGTTTCACAAATATTGCACAATATCTATTTTAAGAAAGTAAATATTTGTATTCACACTACAAATACCTTATATACCCTTATATTTAAACATTTGATTCTCTATTTTATGTTTACAATCACATGGGCACTTTTATACCTTTACCTTTCTCTCTTTTTCTTTTTCCACAATAAAAAAAATATGTGTCCAACCCTTATGGTGCATGACATTAGCGGTTTCCAAACCAAAAATAAAAGAAATTTTTTTTTTATAAACAATCCTAGATGGACAATATTATGGAAATTTGTTTTACAATGGATGCAAAATGGGAATTAATTTTCGTTTCAACAATATTAAGGGAAATGCTTTAAAAAAAAAATAAAAATAAATAAATAAATAAATATTAAGGGAAATCGTTCATATTTCTTTACTCTCTCTATTCTTGGATTTCCCCAAACAGCCACCATTTTTAAGAGCTCTTCCGAGTTCCGCCGCTCAAGTCCCCTCTAAAACCCCAAATTAACGGCCATCTCAAACTCCCTTCCAACCTTCAACAAGGTTTCTACTCTTTCTCAACTTTTGGTTTTTTCAATATGAATTTTCTTGAGACCCCATTTTCATTTTGATCATACTATACATTATACTGGATGGTAAAATCATATTCCATGTGGGTTTCTACCATAAGGTCAGTTTCTTGTAGAAATTTTAGTAAAAATTCTATCTTTATTCGTCAGAATTCTGCTTATGCTGCTGCTCAATTAAATTCTTGGTTTACTGATTCAACTTCTGATGAACATGTTACTAGTAGCAGTAGTAGTGATTTAGAGGATCAATTACATGAATTAGATACAAATAGAGTAATTGAAAATTTGAAGAATTTGAGAACTAAACCAAATCAGGCTTATTTATACTTTTTCAATGTAAAAGAACGTGGGTTTCGGCACAATGTCGAAACTTATGGTTCAATTGTTAGTATAATGTGCAATAGGGGTTCTGCTAGAATGTTGGATGCATTTTTGTTGGAGGTTATTAAGTCGAATTCGGACGAATTGGGTTTCGATGTTTCTGAATTGTTAGAGTTACTTGAGGTTGAAATGACTACTTCAGTGGTTAAAGTGATTGATGCCTTGGTGAAGGGCTATGTTAGTTTGGGTATGTTTGAAATGTGTATAGATGTTTTGTTTCAAACAAGAAGAAAGGGTTTAAAGCCTAGTTTGTTTACTTGTAATTACCTTATTAAGCGTATCATTGAGAAGGGTGAGCTAGACATGGCTTTGGCTATATACCGGCATCTTAAGATGATGGGTTTGAATCCTAATGTATACACCTATAATCTTATGATTGAGGTGCTGTGTAAAAAGGGTAATTTTGAGAAAGCGGTTGGAATGTTTGAGGAGATGGAAAAAGTTGGTGTCAATCCGAATGAATATTCTTATGGCAGCTACATTGAAGGGCTTTGTTCATTTCAAAGATCAGATGTGGCGTATGAATTGTTGAAATCTGTTGTTCCCATTGATAGTTTTAGCTACACCATGGTGGTTAATGGTTTCTGCAATGAAAATAAACTGAGTGAAGCTGAGACTGTTTTGCTTGATATTGAAAACCTAGGGCTCACGCCTAATGCGTATTGTTTTGGTGCTTTAATTCATGCGTATTGTAAGAAGGGGAATATTGAAAAAGCATTGTGTCTTGAAAGTTACATGATGTCAAAAGGTTTGAAAATGGATTGTGTTATTGTGAGTTACATTCTTCAATGCATGTGTACTAAGGGACTTTTTACAAATGTTCTCAGTCAATTTGAAACATACAAGCACAGGGGGATTTATCTCGATAAAGTTTGTTATAACATTGTTGTGGATGCTATGTTTCAGTTGGGAAAAGAGAGAGAAGCCTTGGAGCTGCTTGAAGAGATGAAGCGCAAGAATATGGTCCCAGATGTGATTCATTACTCCACTGTGATCAATGGCTACTGCCTTGAGGGAAAACTTGTTGATGCCTGGGCCTTTTTTGAGAAAATGAAACATGAGGGTATTCAACCTGATATCATTACTTACAATATACTTGCAGGTTGTTTTGCTAGAAAGGGCCTTGTAAAAGAGGCTTTGTTCGTTCTTGACTACATAAAAGACCAAGGTTTGACGTCCCTTGATACCCAAAGTAAAATCATTGAAGGCCTTTGTGTAGGAGGGGAGGTAGAAGAAGCTGAAAAGTTTTTGAATAGTTTAGAGAAGTCAACAGATAATTATAATGTAATGATTGATAATTACTCTGCTATGATTAATGGGTACTGTGAAGCAAGGGATACACGGAAGGCTTTTGGTCTTTTTGTCAAGCTTTGCAAGCAAGGTATATCTCTGAAGAAAAAGACCTGCTTAAAGCTGCTAAATAGCCTATGCAGTGAAGGTCAATTTGAGAGTGCATTTGTGTTGTGCAAAAACATTTTGGGAGTAGAAGACAATACTAGCATTATAATGTATTCAAAGCTTATGTCGACATTATGCAATTCTGGAGACTTAAAAAAGGCTCATTTGGTGTTTGACAAGTATATCGAAAAAGGTTTGATTCCTAATGCCATTATGTACACGATACTGATAAATGGGTATTGCAAATCGAATCTTACGTTAAAGGCCTTTGACCTTTTAGATGGTATGAAGCGTAGAGGTATTATTCCTGATATGATCACTTTCACAGTTTTGATTGATGGTTGCTTGAAGATGAGTTTGGAGTCTCGTTCTCACCCTAACAAGTTTTTGATCGAGAAAGCAACAAAATTTGAATCAGAGATGTCGAAAATGCAGCTGAAGCCTGATGCTGTCTGTTATACAGTGTTAATTGATAAGCGCTGTAAGTTGAATGATATCCAGGAGGCCATGAAGCTGTTCCATGAAATGATAGATAGTGGTCTACAACCTGATAATATGACATTTGCAACTCTACTTTCTGGCTGTCGTAGAGTAAAAGATGTGGATATAGCCTTGACCCTTTTTGATGCGATGGAAGAGCTTGATTTAAAGATTGATGAGAAAACCAAGTCATTGATGTCAGCATTGACACATGGTATATTGAATGTTAAAAAAGTACCCCTCACAGCTTGAATGCTCATAGTATAGCTTTGAAGGTCAATCAAAGTCATATAAGCTCAAGTATAATGATAGTGGCATTGAGCAATCTGATTTCTGTAAAGGTCACATTTTGAAAAATTATATGCATATTGTTGATTGATAATAAAAAAAAGGAAAAATTCATGGGAATAATCCCACCTTTGGGCCATTCGTTTTTAATAATCCCACCTTTGAGTTATTTTTTAATAATCCAACCTTTACCCCCCATTCTTTTTTATTGGTCCCATTTGACCGGAAACCGGTCAAAATTTTTTAATTTTTTTAATTCATCTCCTCCCACCTCTTCCATAGTCACCGCCAGAACTTCCACCCAAACCACCACCACCTCCTCAACTCCTCACTTGTCACCGGCCACCACTCGCCCAACCACCACCAACCTCAACCCTCACACTACCCCACCATCCAATCTCGAAATCACCCACCCAATCCCAAATCCCCAGCCCCGGCCTTCTCCTTCCCTTAAACCCCACCCACGTCCCCAAACCCAACCAACCTCAAAACCATTCGAAAACCCACCAAACCAAACCCAACCAACCTCAAAACCATTCGAAAACCCACCAAACCAAACCCAACATTGAGTTCGACGCGAAATCGGGGCGGGAGTTCGACGCGGCTTGAATTAGATGATGGGGTAGGTCAGCGACACCGGAATCGGGGGATGGGGTTGTCAGCAAGGTCGAAATTTGGGGGGGCAGGTGGCCGGATTCTTGAGACAAGCTAAGGGACAAGCAAGGTCGAAATTTGGGGGGGGGTTTCCGCTGAGGTGTGGTGGTCAGAGAAGGAAAGGTCGGAGGAGAGAGCAGGTGGGTTGTGAGGTCGGGGTTTTGGGGTTCGAATCAAGGTGGAGGAGAGGGCTAAGGAGAAAGAGATGGAGGGTGTAGGCGGTAGTCAGGATCGTGGGGTTCTAGGTGTGTGGTAATTGGGGTCGGGGGGTTCGCGCGGTGGTTGGGATCGGGTGGTCAGGGCCGGGGTTCAGGGTTTGGTGATGGTTAGGTGTGGGTGAGGGTGGAGGTTGTGGAGGCTGGGCGCTGGCTAGGTGTGGGTGAGGGTGGAGGTTGTGGAGGCTGGGCGCTGGCTAGGTTGGTGGTTGTGGAGTTATTATTTTATTTTATTTTATTAACAGGTTACATGACCGGTTGGTACCACTAAAAAAGAATGGGGGGGGGGGGGTAAAGGTCGGATTATTAAAAAATAACTCAAAGGTGGGATTATTAAAAACGAATGGCCCAAAGGTGGGATTATTCCCATGAATTTTTCCTAAAAAAATGTGACACAAGTTTTGAAAATCCTTCTTGGATTGATGCTTACTTCATTGATACTTAGATTCATTGCTTACTTCATTGATGCTTATCTTTTATTAAACTGCAGCTTCTAAAAATTAGGATGGAGATAAACTTGCATCTTCTGGGTTTGGTAATTGGACTGTTAGAGGAGTAATGAAGGATATTTATATATCAAGATTGGGCTACACTAAGGATCACATTAATTCCTATCCTCTTTGCAGCAGTTTTGGATTTTAACATTCGATGTCTTGGCCGTAATGAGTCTAGTTATTAGATTAGGGTTGATAGTTGACTATGTAAATGATGTACCCATGAATTGGATTTTTGAACTTCCTATTTTGGTAGAAGAATGATGCTGGTCTATTTAAATGCTGAGATGTATACTTGAAGCTAGTGTTGGTCTTACAGTCTATAGTTGTTGCTTTTTTGTTTTGCTGTCTTTTTTTGAATTGATATAATTCCTTGTTTTGTGATGAAATGAAATGCCCCACCAAAAAAAAAAAAAAAAAGAAAAAGGAAAAAAAGAAAAAAAAGAATAAAAATAGGATTTTTCCTGTACTGTTATACTAAAGTATTCTTATTCTTGTTCTTTTCATTTTCTATGTTAATCTAGATTCGGTTGGGGTTAGTACTATACATGTATTATGTATAATCCAAATTCTTCTTGTCTGCTGCTGATGTTCAGGACTCATTATCAGATTTGTGAATAGTGAGTAGGAACTTCATAGATGTGAAGGTGCTTAGTTAATTGGATTCTTTAATTTGAGCACGGATAATCCTTTGGAGCCTTGAAGAGGAGAAGGCAGCTTATCTGTGCAACCTTGGATCAGACAATGCGCATCTGCAAAAGGTAAAAAGGCAGCACGTCTATGCATGCCTTGTGATTTTTTAAATAAGATTTTGCTATGCGTGTTTTCTTCTTGTTCGTCGATGTTTCATGGGCCACTGGACATCATTATGTACAGTGAGATTACACATTGTAAATCTTATTCAAACTCAGAGGGTTTCTAGAAAGAGATGCAGAGTTTGAGGAAACGTCTCATCAAGTTGAATGCTTGTAAGTCATCCTCCATTGTTATTTGTTATCCCGTAGTGCAATATGGCTTTTTCTCTTAGCGCTCGAGGTTCCACATGTAAGCATCATCTGTTCGTTCTTTGCCTTTCCATAATTCGAATTCGTGCCTGTTTTATGCTTCTTATTGTATGTTGTTAATTGCCACACTAGTTTGCACTTGTTTAATTCACAACAGTTGGTTGGATGTCTTGACTCTTATCTCCAATCTTATGCTCAACTACTCCCTTGGTATCCTTTTGTCTTGTGTCTCTTTCAGTTTGTGGCTGGATATCAAGAGTAGGGGACTTTAGAAATCTATTCTGGTATATGTGTCAGATGATACGTTAATTGTTGTGTGCCTATGTCATAGGTCACTGGCAGTATCTATCATGATGTCCTGCTAGGCTGCTATTGCTTGAGGCTGTAATGGACAACCAAACCAAGCCTATTTATGTTGTGTGGGTTGACTAATTTTACACTGCTAATGAGATTGATTGCTAGAGATTGGATTACAGATGAGAAATCTATGAACAACTATATGCTCAGGTGCCCTGGAGGTCCAAAGTTAAGTGAGCATTGTGATTGATATAATTAGCTGACTTGAACAAACAATTATGGACGTATTGTGTATGGCCACCTGTTTACTAATAGCAGACCAGAATTAAAGTTAAACAAAGGATAGCGAGAAACATAGCCCTAATAACCACTGAACAACATGTGATTGTTGCAAACTCGATGCTTATCCATAGCTATTAAGAATATGATTTGATAAAACTTCTTTACAATGCCCTCCTTTGCAGCTAAGTAGGAAGGTAACAGAAGTGCATGGACACAGTTAATTAAGTGAATTTGTTTTGGTCGTCATGTTTGTTTCTGCATCTTAACCTCATCAATTCAGAAAGTGCAATTAGATTGCTGTTCCTTCCATTTGTTTCTTTCACAGTTTTGAAAATTTAAAGTGTCAACTGTTTGTTGATGTTGTCTTTGTTAAGTCAGGCAGCTTATGCTTATTTTTCTACGATTGGCACATCTATGATTTTTATGAATCCAAATTTTGACCGCCTTATCTTCGTGCACCTTTCTTTGCATGCATGACTGACTGAATCTTTGTTGTGAAGAGTCATCTATCTGACTTGCAAGAGTTGCAACATATCCTCATGTTTCCCCGAATCTTCTTTCTATCTGTAATTGAATGTTTTATTCAGATCCAATTGTTGCTTATACATGAGCTTTTTTTTTATTTTTCTTCCGTTAGGCATATGAAAGTTAGGCTTATACAATTGGATTGCATCAAGGGTCTGCATTAAGCCCTTTCCTTTTTGTAACGTTCTAGATGAAGTAACTAGACCAATCCAAGATGAAGTCCCATGGTGTATGCTGTTTGCGGATGATATCGTTTTGGTGGATGAAAATAAAGATGGGGTTAATGCCAAGTTGGAGCAATGGAGGCAAAGATTGGAATCTAGAGGGTTTAAGCTGAGTCGGAGTAAGACTGAATATTTAGTATGCCGCTTTGGTACTCGGAGGGGGACAAGCAATGAGCTGGTGAGTTTGGGTGGAAAGGACTTGACCATGAGCGAATGTTTTAAATATCTTGGGTCGATCATCCAGAAAAATGGTAACATTGATCAAGACGTGGCCTACAGGATTAAGTCGGGGTGGCTTAAGTGGAGAGCGGCCACGGGATTGTTATGTGACCGAAGCATTTCCTTACAATTGAAGGGAAAATTCTACTGGACTGCATAAGACCAGTGTTGCTCTATGGTATAGAATGTTGGGCTTCTAAGAAGGAGCACATTAAAAAGATAGAGGTTACGGAATTACGAATGTTAAGGTGGATGTGCGGGAACACTTTAAGAGATAGAATCAAAAATAAGGTTATTCGTAAGAAGGTAGGTGTGGCAGACATTGCAGACAAACTAAGGGAAAATCGTCTGCGTTGGTTTGGGCATGTAAGACGGAGACCCGAGGGTGCACCGGTACGAAGAGTGGGACCATGGAGGGGTTAAACGAGGGAGAGGGAGACCAAAAATGACTTGGTTGGAATGAGTTAGGAAGGCTATGAAGTATATGAATTTGCATGAGGATGAGGCATTGGATCGTAAGGGATGGAGGAGGAGGATCTTTGTCGATGATAACACGGAATAATCAAATTTGGTTCATGTAGCCGACCCCACTTATGGGATTAAGGCTTTGATTGATTGATTGATTGATTGAGGCATATGAAAGTTGTACCAATGATCTAATTCTGAAAGTTTATTATTTGATCTCTTTTTTAGGGATTAGGGCCTTTAGGGGAGCACTGCCTTGCTCATGCATGTAACAGCCTTAGCCGCCAAGAGTAAAAGTGAAAACCACCTAAAGTTTGGGATCAATTTCAGACATTAAAATCTTTTCTCACAAATTAGTAAAAGGTGACAATTATGTAACAATGTCTTATCAGCTGAACCATAATATACACCAATTCAACTGAATCAGAGCTAAAATATGTGCTTCTAAGCTCCTCTTATTCTGGAAGGCCTCTGTGGATATTTATTTCGTTATGCAAACATATTGCCATATTGATGTCGAATATTTGTAATGCCAGTAATATCATCAAAGAGGTGGAAACATGCTTTAAGGCAATTTTGTGGGCTAGTAGTGTAACTTCTTAGAAATCTCCGGTTTCTTGGGAGAAGATTTGTTTTTATTGTTTTGCTGGTGGTCTGAAAGCAAAATTCTGTATGTTCGCGACAAATTATTGGTCACAAAGCTTTCACTGGGCTTTGTCTGACAAAATTGATATATTGTGGCTTAAGTGGGTACATTGTAATTACATTAAAGGCAAATCAGACTGAGATGTGCCTATCAAAAGCAACATGACTAAGATTACTTGGATTCTTAGAAATAATTTGGCTTATAGAGCCATAATTAATTGGTGGGTTGTTTCAGTTGACCTTTAGAAAAGGGTTCAGTTTTCAATGCAGTATGCTTGTAATTGTGTTTTGTATTCTTAACCTGAAGTTCCTTGGAGGAGGAATACATGAAGTTTGCTAGTCGTAAATGCAAAGTTTATTACATTGCTTGTGCTATGTGTATGATGCTGAGCATGGATTAATGAGACGATTGTTTTTAGACACTCTTGTGGAGACACCATTTGGCAGATTGTGCTTCAAATTCTACATTATTTTAAAATCTCTCAATTTTTCGATAAAGAAGTGAAGTGACTCTCTCAGGCTTTGAGAAGAAAGATTATAGGAATATGTACTGTTTGAAGTCATAAAACAGAAGAATGTTAACTGTAATCTGTCTGCAGGGCAGTTTAATAAAACTATAACATCCTCTATGTATCTAGTAGTTGCAGTGAATGGACTACAGACCTGCTTTTGTGGTTGGGGCTTTTCTGCATCGATGTGATCTGTTAGCTGGTGGCCAGGCCTGAGCTGGTTCTTCTCTGGTTGTGCTTCCCTTTTTCATAGCACATGAAGTACTGCCCTTGAATCCTCCTAGTAGATGGGTTGGGTTGGAATGCTGATGCTTGTGGGAGCTTGGCCTCTTTCCTGCATACTTCAGTTGTTTTACCTTTTTGGTTGCTCTATTAATTTGATTTGTTCCCAAATCCTTGTATCTGGTTGCTACTTTATGCTGTTATGTTTCTGTTTTGGGTTTAAATTTCATTTCACTTGCCAAAAAAAGTTAAATTATATTTGTCAGATTTCAACATCTTGTAAACAAACAGCCATATACAGAATTACAGAGATACCTCTTTCTGTATCTACAATGCAAACAGCAGAACTGTAATACATACTAACAGTGCTACAGAACAACACAGCTTTTCTGGTATTTTGTACAGCCTCTTAACAACTTTTTCCACAAAACAATTTGAGCTAATGTCCAGGCTTCATGATCTTCAATTTCTATCAATCCGCCTGAACCCTTTTCTTAAAATCCCTGGGATCAATGATATCTCAAGAAAAGATACTATGGATTTTCCTTTTCCCCTTGACAGAACATACATTTTACTTTTAGGAACGACTGATGAATACTCTATTAGCTTTTTTCCGAACGTTTTAGTGCTTTTCGATCTCAAGCTGCAAGATCATCCTTTATATGTGAAGTTGTCAAAAGTTATGATCTTTGGATGCCTTGTTCTTAATAATTAAATATATTGTTTTAATTAATTTTTGTGTATCTCAGCTTCAGGAATAGTTTAAATATCACTGTTTTGTGGAATTTCCCATCAATCTTCAATAGCAACTGTCAGAATGTAAGGTATGTGACACACTGACTTGTGTTCTTTATGTTTGGTGTGCAAATGTTGCATTTCTTTCCATAGGGTTGTTGAGGGCCTGTTTACTAGTTGCTACTAGCTCATTAATTAAATTTGTTCTATTCCACTTGAAATATATGAGTACCATATAAATTTTCATGATAGCACACTTTTCTCAGAGAAATTGTGTATTTTGAGTTCCACTCATTTCTGTCTATCTAGATGATAGTAAGCTCTAATAAAATAAGTAGCACAAAATGCATTCGAGTACTTAAGAATGAGGATGCATTGTCATGGACATTCACATAGTTTATGTGTAAAATACTATGCACACTCATTATATGTTACTTTATAACTATAAAAAATGTAGAGTACATATTTGGGAGTAGGAGTGGATAAGCATTATCATGGAGTCATGGACACTTTTACGACATTGGTGCAAGTTACATGTACGTGCATGCAATGGATGGGAACACAGCAAGGAATGATATTATGTACATATGATGCTTTTTCTGATAAATAATATGCACTCATTATATGTTAATTTATAACTATCAATAACGTAGATGACATGTTTGGGAGTAGGAGTGGATAAGCATTATCATGGAGTCGTGGACACTTTTACGACATTGGTGCAAGTTACATGTACGTGCATGCAATGGACGGGAACACAGCAAGGAATGATATTAGGTAAATATGCTGCTTTTTCTGAAGATAAACCATTTACTCCCATAGTGTATCTTTTATTTATTGTTCAATTGCAACTTTTAATCATAAATTATTGCTTGCTAAACAGCCCATACATTGTTAGTATATTCTTTCATTTTCTTACTTCATGATTTCCATTGTCATATAACTTTCATTCTCTTGGCTGCTTTTGATTGTTGTCTTATTTTGTAAAGTTTGAATTTAGCTGATTGATTAAGGAATTGAGGCCGCCCAATTATTTTGGGAACTTATCTTACTGGGCTATGAGATAATAAAAAAAGTGTTGCACATATGTAAAGTTGATGTCCACTTTATTTTTGATAATGACAGTGCTTTTATACAGTATGAGATTTTCATTTTAGGTAATACTGTAGAACCCTTGAAATGGCAAAATATATTCAAGATTGTTCCAGTGGACATCAGTTGATGATTGACTCATATTGCCACTCTTATCTTTTATTCAGTCTATATTCTGGGATTTTCTTGAAATTGAGAATTACTCCGTCCCCTAGTGTTTGCCTTATAGCGATATTTTACTTTAAGATATGGCTGAGTGGAATTAAAGAGAGAAAAGTAGGGGGACTTAAAAGTATTGTTTGTGACTAGAGATGGAAATGGATCGGGTTCGAGGTGGGTGGATCATCGCCCGCCTCCATCCACCCCACCCGATCCATCCACCACCCGCTAAAACATCCACCCGAATCCATCCATCCATCACCCACGGGTGAAACGGATGGTTCGGGTGATAATCGGATGTACAGTATGAGCATTTAAAATTAAAACATTACATAACATTTAGTGCCGTTTGCCTTGCTGCTACCGCCGTTTGTCTTGCTGCGGTGGCGTCACCGTGACTCCATCAAAGAAAGCAGAGAGAGGCAGAGAGAAAGCCGTGGTTCTACACTCAAAACCTTTGAGTACACCAATTTTTTTGCAAATTTTTTGCAGTTGTTTTTGGGAAGAAAAAGGGGGGAAATTGATGAAAAATGGCGAGCAGAATGAAAAACAATGAAATTGAAGAAGGAGAATGGCAGAACACCTTGAAAGCTTTCTTAAACAAGGAGAGAGATTGGAGGGCCCTGCTTGTAGTCCAAATATTACTCTTCGCAAACCCATTAAAATTAGGGCTAGTATAAATGAATTTCAGAAATAAAAAAAAAAAAAAAATGTTTTTAGAAATATCCGGGTGATGGGTCGGGTTAACGGTTTGGGTGATGGGTGAAAATTGTCAACCCGAATCCGATCCGTCACCCGCATCCGTTAATCCGTCTTTCCCCTATCATCTGTTTAAACCAGGTTTTTCACCTGTCCAATGAGGCGAGTGGAGTAGGTGAGCGGGTGGCCCATTGGATATTTCCATCTCTATTTGTGACTAGTAAAGTCGTGACCTTTCATGTACATAACAATCTTTTAGTGACGGCTTATAAAGAAATATGGCACAAACTTTAATGGTCAGAGGGAGAATCTAATATTCTCTCCATCTATGCTCCCCTCCCCTCCCGAATTTTTTTTTTTTTTGTATGGAAAATCTTTAGAGAGGGAGTAAGTACGTACCAGAAACAAAGTGGGAAAAATGGATGAGGACTATTCAGGCAATATTTTTTTTATTTATTTTTATTTGGATATTCAGGCAATATTTGGTTGGGTAGTTTTTTCTTTCCTAGGAAAGCCTGATCCTATTTTATTCTGCTTGGTTGCAGATTAATTTATTTATTCTTAAGTATACTTGTAATAAATTTTTTTATTTAGAAGATGGAAAATATATTCTTTTAGTAAAGGATGAATGCTGGATTTCCTTTCCCTATCCGCCACCTTCAACTCTTTCCTTTGTCCTGCAGCTTTTCTTCCAAAGAACAATGAAATAATAATAATAAAATAAAAATTAAATTTTAATATTGAAATTTTTTTTCATCAAAATATTATGTTCTTTAAATTCAAAAATAACTTCATTATGTTTTCCCTCGAAACAAACACACCTCTCTTTCCCTGATTCTGAAGTTCTTTCCAGCTAACTACGACCATTAAAAAGCCATCTTTTTTACCTAAACATAAAAAAGTGCTGTTTTATGAATGTTTCATCAACTGAGGAAACTTTGTTAGTCACTGGCAAAGGTGAAAACGTAGTCCTGTCTAAATCTAATAATGCCTTGTGCTTTATTTATTGGCTTCCAAAGTCTGTTTTAATGGAGTATTAATTATTTTAACCTACTTTATTTCTTTTCTAGATGCTTTTAATAACTCTTTGCATTCTTTGGACATGAAGGGTGGTCCCTACTCCGATGTGGGTGGGGGGTTAAACCTGGTTTACAAGTGATGATGTTGAGAGCTCCATTATACATTAATCTTTGCATCTAATTTTTAAAAAATATTACTCCATCATTGCTTATTGTAATTGTCAGCTTTTTATGCATATCTTGAGGTGCTACCACATTATAAAATAACTCTGCATAAAAATTCATATTTGAAATTGGCAATGAAACTTAACTCACCTTGATTGTAAAGTTTATTAGGAAATAAATAGACTACCTCTGTTTTCATTTGGTCTATTAACTTGTTGTAGATGTGAACTAATAAAACTTTGAAAAAGGTAAGTGAGTGTAAGAAAAAAAAAAAGGTAACTGAACGAAACACGTAAAAACGGGGTAGATGGCAAAAAGTCTTAGTCGAAAATGGAATTAATTAGAAGTGGATTGAACAAAAGACATTCTGAAATGGATGTTGGGTATAACAAAAGAAAATGGTGGCATTACTTCCATAATTCCATTATATTATCTTTTCAGCTTGACATAGTGATTAAAAATGGTGGTTAAAATTTCACAAATGTTTGATCATCAAAATCAAATACTCTCTCCATTGCCAAGTAAAAGTCTCAGGTCATCCAAACATGTCTCATTAGACCTTTATTAATCAACCTAACCCCACTATCTTATTTTTTAATCACCTTTTCCCACCAAATCCTACTATCTTGTTTATTATATTCATCTTAAGATAATCAAATCTATTTATATTACAGAGTATTTTTTTTATTCACCTCCCTAACACATGTGAAAAAAGCATACAAGACTTTTATTTGGGGACGGAGGGAATATTTCCTTTGATTATGAGAAAGAGGGATTGTATATTTGTAACTAATGAGTTGATTAGCAAGCTAATGTTTAAGGAATGTATTTTTTTTTATTAAATTAATATCCTTGATTTAAATTTGGACTTCTTCATAGTAGTCACAAAGGCGGCTAATTATCCAAAAACAATTTTTCAATGCATTTTCATGATTATCTTTTGATGAGAAGTGAAGTAATACTGCTCATCCACTCCTTTTATTACTAGGATTATTTTTCCTAACTTAAATCTATATGTTTGTTCAATCAGGAAGGTTGCCACTTTTACTTCAACCTATTACTATCATGTGATTCAGAAAGCACCATATAGGTAGACATTGCAATCTAAGCAAAACAGAAAACTTTTCCATGACTAAAATTACCACCAACTGTTGTGGATAGCCCTGTTGCTTGCATCAGATGAAATGTTGTTTTCACCTAGTGCTGCTGCTTTTGACATAGTTTTTTTTTCTTATGTCTTGCACATATTATAGCACCCGTCTTTGGTTTAGTGTACCATTCAGTGAACTGTTTGTTGATGAACTGGCACGTTAAAATGACAAGGTTGCGTTTTTTTTTATATATTTCTATCATACTGTAAGTCAAGGGGTGAGATAGTGGTGTCTATTTAAAATATCTAAACTGCCCTTAATTTTTACTTACTCTTTTAAAATGCTTGTTGTATCGTGCATATAGATCTAGTATATATACAAAAAAAATGGTCGATGTACAATTAAAACTTTTGGTCTTACATACAAAAAAATGAAAAAACTAGGGATGTACATGTAGAAAAGGAAAAAAAAAAAAAAAAAAAAAAGGGATGTGCTTGTAAGAAATTTGGATGATTATAAATAGATGAAAAAGCAGAGGATCTACACAAAGGAAACATCTTTTGGGGACATATGATAATTTAAGATAGTATGGGCCATTTTCTTCCCTTCCTCTATTCTCTTGGGATGATGTGTTAATATTTAACTGTGTTGGTAATCTTGGTATTGTACATGATTACATTTGATGATATTCATGTATTCTTATATGAAGTTCGAACTGTGAGAACAAAGTTACCGCTTTTTATGCAAAAAAACATGCAAAATTTCAAAAAAAAAAAAATGGCTTAGTTGTTTATTTAGATAGTAAAATAGCCGAGTGTGACATTTAAACACCTACTGATACTGCGTATTTGTTTGAAGAACTTAGACATTGTGGGTCCATCTAATTTATAGTTCTATCCAAAAAAGTTTCTTTCAAAACAATTTAAATTTGCCCACTAGGCCTTTACTTCTTCTGCCTTGTTTTCTTACTTTTCCTCCCTCTACTTATATTCTGTCTAATTAACTTGAGCAAACCCTTCCTTAAAGCTCTCTTAAGAAGCATTCATTCTTCTTAGCCTAAACCCCGTTTTGTCCAACAGTACTTCTCTCTTCCACTCCTTTAAGTGATGGCTGCAGCCACTGACGTCCCCGAACCGTTAAAATATCAGGTATCTGCATATACCATGTATCAGAATCTGAGATTCTTATGCTACAACCTTTTTCCTAGTTCTTGTATTAATAATCTATCATTTTTGTTTGACAGACTTGGACCTTGAGAGTTCCGATACACTGTGAAGGTTGCAAGAAGAAAGTGAAGAAAATTCTCCAAAAGCTCGATGGTAACGATCCCCAACCCCTTTTAATTTTGTCATTAGTATGTATCATGTATGAATATTGGGTTTCACCTACGTAGTACTTAGCTTATTCTGCTATGATTTTTCCAAGTTTCAACGTTATTGCGAGTTTTGTTTCATATTATGCTCAACACTGCAGGTGTTTATCTGACAACAATTGATGCTCAACAACACAAGGTTACTGTAACTGGCAGTATAGATGCTCAGACCCTCCTTCACAAACTAGCCAAGTCTGGTAAACCTGCAGAATTATGGGCGGATAATTCTGTGAAGAACAAGAACATGCTTGAAACTCCTAGTAGTGCGAAAGAACAGACTAAGCACAAAAAAGAAAGCGATGGGAACAACAAAAATCAGAAAACACAGGGAAAAGCTAATGAAGAAGCCGGTCAGGAAAAAGAAAAAAAATCAGCTGATAATCATGCAAATCCTGCAAAAACTGTTAAAGGAGGTGAAGTCTCTGATAAGGCTCCTCTTGATGGTGATAAGCCGTTACAGTTAGAAAATGCAGGCGGAATTGACGGCGTTGATGGGAAGAGCAATGGCAACAGTAGTGATAAAAAGAAGAAAAACAAAACTAAAGGAAACAATGGTAATGCTGGAAACGATGAGAAGTCGAAACCTCCAGCATCAACTCCACCTGTATCAGTACCAGAAGCTGCACCAGTACCACCTGAGACCCCGGCACCTGCACCAACTTCGGTACCTACAGAATCTCCAATTCCTGCAGAGTCACCAGTGCCTACAGAAACACAAGCCCCAGCACAAGCAAAATCAAAATCAAAAGCAAAAGCACCGGCACAAGCACCAGCACCAGCACCAGCAGACGGGTTTTCAGGGCATTCGATGCACCATGGAAACCCCATCGAGCCAATGAACTTTGGACCTTCATCTAATTATGGACCTCCTAATCAAGGTTACCCAAATGGGCCGTATCACAGTCCTGACAATATGGGTCCTCCAAATCAGCAAAGTTACATGTACCCTCCTGCTCATTACCCACAACCTCAGCTCGGAATGAGTTACAATATGGCACAACCCAGCAGTAGTACCTCGTACTACGCTCCACCATACTATGCCTATGAATACCCACAGTATCATACAATGCATATTCCGCCTCCACCACCACCATCGAATCCAATCAATGAGTTCTATCATGATGATCAGTATTACAACGATAATGCAGATGAAAGTCGATGTAGTTTGATGTAGTATCATAGATTCATATTTGCTTCTAGGATTATGAATAACATATGCACTATACTGTCAAACATCAAAGAGAGAGCAAAATGAAAATTTTGTTAAAATTCAGGGTGGAAATTATATTTTCTTCCTGTATTAAAATTCGTAGTTAGGTATTATCCTAGACTAGGCTATTCTGTTAGTCTGTTAGAATATGTATATTTCCTTAGTTGTGACTTGTGAGGACTAAAGATCTTGCCTTTTCTTTACTATCTGACGTGCATCCCCCTTAATTCTGATATGTAAAGACATACTTTTTAGTTAACTTTGTCCTTTTCCTTTTCACTTTCCATTTTTGTTCTGTATATGAGGTTATTAACAACATTAATGTTGATCTTAGTCCTGGTGTGAGATTTGATCCCAGTCCCGGCCTTAATTCTCTCTTGCCTTTGTTTACTCTTTCCTTTTGTCTCATTCTTATTCCCTTATGGTTGGAATTTGAAAATTGTCTTTTTAATTAGTCTGGTTCTCATGCATAATAAGCGGTTTTATATGCTCGAGAATGTATTAGTACTTAAAAGTAGCTTTATTAAAGTAAACCTCAAGAAGAGTAGAAAAAAGGAATCTTATTAGGTGGAATCCACCTGAACCAAAACCCAAAGACTGCTTTATTTTCAATATTGGTCATTGAACATGGAGATAATACTTAAAATTGGGTATCATTGTATCGAGATCTTCCAAGCTATGTGTTCTAGCATAGAATATGGAGACATGTTAGAGTGATAGCCGTGTAGACAGATATAGGGGTGTCAAACAGGTCATTTGATTCAATTTTGATTGGATGGTATTAGATAACGTTTGCCGATCCCACTTATGGGATTAAGACTTTAATTGATTGATTGTATCAATTGTCAATTAATTTATTATCTTTCATGTAAGCCTAAGCATATAATTCATCTATTTTTGGATATTATTTGTCCAATATCAGAAAATTTACACGATTAAAATCAAATGTGATAAGAACACACATGCCCGTAGGATTTCCTTCCAAACAATTACAAATTACTCCATATTTCTTCAAACCATTAGTTGTTCAAGTAAGTTTTGTGTACTTGCCTGGAATCTTATACAAATTTGATCCCAAATGCACAATTTAGATCTTTCATCACCCATAGCAATTACTTTTTAATAAAGATAAGACAAACTCTAATATCTCAAAATACCAATATAACACTCTCATCTAGTCATTCATCTTCCAACAAAGATTCCAAATGATTAATCTCTATTATATAAGCCAAGAGGTGTGTTAGTGTTGTTTAGTTGAAATACCTTTAATCTTTTTAATTTTTATTTCATCTTTAAAGTGGTTAGTGAATTTAAATTTAAAAATTTAAAGCACATATCGCGTGCATATAGATTTGGCTAGTTTCTCATATTATAAGGTACTTGGCTCATTTCCCATAGTCATAACTTATCCTAGCTTCATTGAGTCATTTTTAGTAACTCTTGTTGCTTGTGAGCAATTCACAAGATATTTACAACTAAATCGTGAACTTATTATCATTGCTTCATATATTGATTATTGGCTTCCAAGTTCCACAAGTGCAAGGGGTCTTAAATTTAGTCATTGCCCCAATTATAGCTCCATCCTGTAATTAACTTGTCATTCCTAACATTACAGAAAATACTTCAAAAACCTTGATTTTTTTTTAAAACCTTAATTTTATTTTAAAAACACTCATTAAGGTAAAACCGCATTACATCAATTGTACCCAAGTTGTTCCAAGTCCCAAGTCATTTTGGGCCTCTAACAGATCCAGATGAGCACGTTTATATAGTACTTGTAATTCACATCAAAATAAGGTCTACTAGTTAAACTATGTGTCCAATTACCACTAATTCCGGGAGGCTAATCAAGCGGCGTATTACAATACAAGGCATAATTATCCTACTAATCCTAAATCCTAACTCTTATATGTAGCTTTAGCATGTCAGAAAAATGTAGAATCTCTATGTAATCGCGGTATGAGTTCATGATTACAAGTGTATGGAGGATGTTACTTTAGTCTTTAGAGGCAGGGGATTAAGCAGAGATTCACCAAGGTGGTGTAATGAGTTACCATGGCTTATTGCAGTAGCAAAGCTAGTTACAGCCTTCAAAAGAATTCTAAGGAAAAGCTGAAATACTGCAGATTTATTTGTGTGGATAATTATTAAGCTAGTATTACTGTTAACATAGTGTATGTTTAATGATGTATTGATAAGTTAAAGAGTTGGTGTAATGATTTAAATTGGTAGCAATAATGTTATTCTTCTGACTGAATCTTAAGCATATGATGCATAATATTTCATTATTGTACCCTTCCTAGATATTTGCTCTCCAAAAGGTTGTGTGGATATGATACATATAGTACTATTTCTAGTAAATTACATGGATTTAAGCTAGTTGGTTTCAAACCCGGCTTCAAAGTTCAAACTAATGGTGTTTCATTCCCACGGCTCAAGATCAAAACTACTTCGTATTAATTAAGCTAAAACAACTCTCTTACTTAGTTATTTTGATAGTAATAATGCCTATAGTTCTTAAACAACTAAGTTAATAAAATTGAAATAATAAGATTTGTCTAGTTGTTGGGTTGGATCAAACATTTACCCGCCCAAGTTTTGGTAGAATGGTAGAGGATATTACGTTCTAATTATAAATTAACTGTACTCCATCCATCTCTATTTAGTTTACACACTTTTCTTATAAAGTCGTCTCTATATATGTACCTACATGTTATAATTGTTTTTCTCACCTCACTGGTCACCATCCACTACCTATAAATAAAATATAAACCACTAACTATATCATAGTTACCCCACTAAATTTGACTAAATTTTTATGCTGGTTAAAGTATGTCAACTAAAGAAAGACGGATGGAGTATGAATGCCTGTGAAGAAAGAATAATTCTAACTTTCTAAGTCCAAATTTAGCAAATGCTCGAATCATGAACAACAACAGCAGCAGCAGCAACACTTGCAACCCAAAAAAAAAGGCCTAATGGTTTATATGACTTCTTTACTGATTTTACAAAGTCAGATGATTGAACAAGAAAACACATGTTATTTGTGACATGAGTTATTATACTGGATCTCAAAATACAGTAACATTTCATCATTAGCCGAATCTATCCCTTGAGCTTTTCATGCAAAGTGATAACTTTTAGCCAAGAAGGCCTAGACAAGATATCCTTGCACCAAGCACTCACATTAGGACGCTCCTCGAACAGCAGCTTAACTTGGCTGTTCATCAAGTAGTGTACAATAAGCAAATGGTGCAGATCGGCCAAGGTATAGGCTTCGCCAGCCAAGTACTTGGATTCGCGCTTCATAAACATCAAGGACCTTAGCCAACTTAACCTTGTTCTCTTCGACAATACCCATGTCGGGTTCCATGTCGGATATCTTTTTATAAACAAGCTCCGAATCTAGTTTGATTGCCACCGGGTCAAAGTGAAGTGCTTCAACCTCTACCCAAACCTCTACAAGTGCTATATTCTTCAAATCCTTGATTAATAATTGAGTTCCCTTGTTTTCATATTCATTTGCTATGTACCTTGTACCTTGTACCCTGTAATTGATCTTGATTCTGTTTTTTTTCCATGTAGCTAGTTTGTTAGAATTGAGTGTTTGTTATAATATACAATGAAACTTTAAATCAACAAATAATGATTTAAATTATGAACACATATTCTGGTTATTGGACAGGTTGGATTAAATTGAATACGCACACATCAAAATCATAGGGTCTCAAACTTACATTGATGACATCAATCAATTGTTCGTATAATCTACTTCGTATCATGCATACCGAAAAGCTTGATGTCTCCATCTTCAAGAGCCGGAACTTGACCAAATGGCTGCATTTACATGAAAGAACAAGTAAATATACCAAGTATGCACATATATGAGCTAGTTACATCAATTACTGAATTTGGGGTGTACAATTACTCAATTAGTATTAAAAGTCTTACTACTGTCAATTACCATACAATCAAATTTGTTTCAGGGATCTTAGTCCCTCTCTTTCACCCAAAAAAAAAATAAAAATAAAAAAAAATTAAGAAAAAAATAAAATAAAATTGTAACTTAAGATTGTCATTTATTAAGTTATCATATTGGTGTAGTGAAAGTTACAAAAGATCTGTTAGTAATTTAGAGTGTATGAAGTGTCGCGCCCGCGGTTGACAGAGGAGAGCCCTCTCCAAGGGCGCGACTAGCCTTCTACAGGTTTCAAAGGATGATCTCCAATTCATCCTGTCCGTGCCTGCGGCCTGGACACCCGTGTCCACGGCGATTCAGTTTTGCGGTTTTTTTGTTCTTTTTATTCAAAAGGTGAATTGTGAAATTGAAAAAGTAGGATTCATTTTCAGTTTTCTCTCCTCTCCAATGTATTCTCTCCACATTTCATTGATGAATCTTGCAAACTCATCATTGAAAACTCTATTAATCTAGCCAAATATTTGAGAATTTATCATCTAATTTCGGCTCAAAGTGCTAAGAACGATTTGTTGTCTTTTGTATCTCAAACAGAATTTCCGGTAAAAACACAAGAACCGTTGTGTGGGAATTGAAATTAATCTCTTTAGGAAAGTGTTTCACAAGCCTAAGACAAAGTATTAAGGTTTGAGACTCACGTGGTCATTGAAATTCTCATGTTCATGTTCGTTTGAAAGGTTTTGAAGTGAGGCAAGTTTATAATATTTCATATTAGTTAATTTCATTGTAATTTCGGTAATTCATTGAATTAGTAGTGCTTGGTTTGAATACACTTGGTTGTATTGATTTGGTTGTATAATTTTATTGTAATTATACACTGTTTTAGGTTTTGTTCCCACATAAGTTTATATTTGATTTATACTAGAAAACCTAACAAATCTAAAGAGATTAACTAGCATGTATAAGATTTTAAAAAAAAACTTTTAGCACCGGTTCTTTTCCAAAACCGGTGTCAAAAATGCCCAAAAAATTAATTTTTTTTTTTTTTTTTTTTTTTTGCATTTTTTTCACTTAAATTGATATATAAACACTAACATATATACAAAGTTACAGAAATTTACTTCTAATACTCCAAAAACCTGTTCTAATGAAGCATATAAACAGCAAACATCTAACTAAATTAAACAGCCCAAACTAAGCAGCTCAACAGGCTACAAAAATAACAAAACACAGCGCAACACTAAAGCAGCAGAGCAAGCACATCAACTCAGCATCACAGCACCACAACACTGCAAAAGGAAGCAGACAGCAGCACATCAACACCAACACAGTAGCGCATCACATCAACACAGGAAAACTCGACCTCACAGCAGACACATCAGTGTAGCAGAAACAACAGCTCACAGCAACAGCAGCTGAGCAGACACAGCCTGACAGCTAACATCAACAGAATAAAAACAACTACACAGGAGCATTGATCTTCAGCTGATACAACCATTTGCAATGATCCCTCTTCCACTAATTATCCATGGTGCTCCTATCCCTACAATGACATAACCTACCTACATGAAAGGAACAAAAAATTTAGCTAACAAATCATATCCCTTATGATTAGGAAATTTGTAAACATATTCATTCTGAAACAACAAAATTAAATTGTTTATTGGTTCATCCAAAAATGGCCTCTCAAATAGTCTTGGATTAGTAGGGGTAATGCTGTATAGATTAGGACCTATCCAACCGCCTTAATAAAATTGATTTATGGTGTTTGCAATTGTTTCTTTAAGTGTAAATTCAAAGAAAGAAGCATTACCTACATTATTTTCTTAATGGTGTAACCTAATGTGTAAACAACACAAGGATTAGGGAAACTAGACATGCATCAGCATCTCAAAGTTTCTCCAATAACAGCCTGCAATTGATGAATACAGACAAAGATAACTTGAAAGAGGCCACCAGAATGCATAGACTAGAGGCTCTATGAGTCCTTAACATCACCCCCCCACCCCTCCTACCACCACGCCCACCGGAAAACTAAGGCAAAAAAAATCAGTATATTGACCACACTGGATTATGGATCAATATTGGGGCAAGCTAGATCTAATGAGGGCAGGAGTAGGCTAACAAGGCTCTTGTCTTTCTCCTTACATTCTTCAAATCTCACATGGGATCAAAGGCTTACTCATGCAAAACCCTAATTAGCAACTACAATAGGTGGAAAAACCATTATATAAGCTTTTTTATGCAGTCCTGAACTCTTGCTGAAGAGCAAGATGCTTTCATCCTTAACCTCAACTATTCAGCAGTTGATGCTATTCCGATAGCGAGCTTTTGAATCTTGACAAAGATTAAGACAATGATTAAAATATAAAACCATCGCTCTACATAAAAAAACTATGCTAAAGAATTTGATCGCTCATAACTAATTATGACTGAGCAGCTGTTATCTGTGATTTCATCACAGTTAGCTCATATAAGGAATTTTTGAATTATTACATGGATAAATGGTGTGATGCTCACACAGCTTGTTAAAGTTAAGACGAATAAGTAGGGAACCTGAGAGTAGAGTTGGCAAATCTATTTTTTCTAGCAAGTGAATACAGTTAACATAATAGCTCAACTTCAGATTGAAGGCAATGCCCAATTCACAGTAGCAGTTTAGTTCAACCAAAAGTTACTAAGAAAATGCAGGCATATAGCTTGATACTGTTAGAATAAGAGTCACACTGCCACCATAAAGAAGGCATACAATTCTAAGCTCGAGTAACAATTTTTAGAACAACAACCACAGGTATAAAGTATATAAACAACTGGTAAGCTAGTACCAAAGGTGATAGGACTTAAAATGGTCAATATTCATTGAGAAAATCTGCTACACTGAACTGCCTTTGATTTCTAAGGTACTAACATGGACATTTTAACATTCAGATTACCATAGAAACACTCAATATGCTGCCACTGGTTTTTCGATATACAGCTTGCACCTACATACTACATAGGCTTTCATCCGACGGAAGAGGTTATTTTTCAGGCGATCATCCACATTCCCCTGTTTAAGAATAGTAATCTAACTACTCAAGATACAAACTACCGCTAATAATACACCTATTTTCTTATATTAATGACCTAGATGCATTTTATTGTAGCGATACTCAAACAATGCATCTGAAAGAAGTTAATTTCAACATGCTTGCTTGGAAGTTGAGACTTGAAGGACTTCCCTGCCATATATTTCAAAGGAGACCAAAGAGAACATCCTCTTTTCCCTCCTTAGTACGAATATGAGACGATTCTATCTTAATGTAATTGTCCACCACCTATTATTTTCTCACACCTATAGTCCAAAGCAGCTAATAGTATCGTACCAATTTTAATTTCTTAACAAATAAGTTGGACACATGAGTAACAATCAAAAGGACTATCCTACAAGCACCAAGCAATGAAATCCCATAATCTAGTACAGAAGCCAATTAAGACAAGGGACATTGTAAGACTCTACAAGCAAAGAAGTATGAAAATATGGGGATCATCAAATATGAGTAAAAACTTACATTTAGAATAAAAGGTTCTGGCAATGGGCACTAGATGGGTTTATCATTGTCAAGAGGCTCAACTGGATGTTCAACAGGTTTAAATTTTACACCTACATCTATACCATCAGCAAGAGGCTGTGCAACCTCGGCCATCGTGTCCTTCTGGAATCGGGGCTGAGACCTCCCTTGCATCCTGTGTCCATTGAAAACGCGAAAATAAAATCATAATCAGCAATCAGCAGGCATCGAGCTTACGACAATGAACTACAAGCAGCATGAACTTGAAGAGCAATATTAATAACAATGAAGCACACCAATCCTTGGCAAAAACACACCAAAAGCAGGTTCTAGACATGATTAAAGACAACCCAATAAAGATTTTGGACACAATTTCGGATACTATGTGACTCAATGATCTTAAAGGACAATGCAATAAGATACATGACTAAACCTGGTTATATTTCTCAAGAAAACTCAAGACAACAGAAACCAAGCAAACTGACCAATTATGTAAACAATGAACCATCGATTACTTTGAATTGACTCATTCACAGCCTCATTAATTTGTATAAGAGGATGTCACATGCTCCTAATCTCTTTCTTTAAAATCCACTGAGATGTAAGAAAGGACTTATCTGTAATTATATATATATATATATATATATATATATATATATATAAAGGACTTAATACAGAACCTTAGAGCTCAGTTTATTCCAGATAGACGAAAACAGAAAATGTCTTTCAATAAACAGTAGACCTAAGAAATTCAATTTTTCATTTTAAAAATCTCGGAACTCAACTCACAAATAAAAACCCATACAAACAACATGAAGCTTAATCGACTGATAACAAACAAAGAAATTTCGCCTAAACAAATGGCAGAAAAAATCAGCAAATTAATTTAAATTCAAAAACATATATTCAATTATTCATACCTGAATTCATAAGCACCATTAACGTGCTTTTCAGAGTACCTCAAAAACAAATCCCTCCTCCTCCGGCCCGTTGTCTATGCGATGATGGTTCTGAAGAATCCAAATTCTGAAACTATAATATCAATAATTGCTTCAATTGCAACTTTAATCATCAACAACATAAAAAATCAACCCAAAAAAAGATAAATCACTCAAATTCAACACAAAAAAAAAATTCCAAATAAACAAATAAACCCCAAAAAATTGCAAAATTGCAACCAAAAAAACAAAAAATAAATAGAACAAAGAAACCACAAAAAAATCGAAAACCAATCGAAGAAATAAACCCCAAAAATCGAACACCGATCGATCAAATAAACCCCATTAAAAACGAAACGATTTCGCACAAATACACCCACAAAGATTCAACCCAAAAAATTCGAAAACACATCAAACATATCGAAAACAACAGAAACATATATGCAAAAATCCACGACAACCAAAGTTTGAAACTAAATCGAGGGAAAACAAAAAAAATCGAAAACCAATCGAACAAATAAACCCAAAAAATTGAACACAAATCGATCAAATAAACCCCATTAAAAACGAAACGATTACGCACAAAAATACACCCACAAAGATTCAACCCAAAAAAATTGAAAACACATCGAACATATTGAAAACAACAGGAACATAAAACTGCTTCAACCAAAAGAAATTGAAAAAATAAATTTCAAATTAAACAAAACCCTAAAAGCCCAACTAAAAAAAATTAAGAGCGTACCTCAAAAGCTGCTTCATGGAGGAGGAGAGAGAGCTAAGAAGTCACTTCAATGGAGGATTCAGATCGCACTTCAATCGTTCACCACTTGCTTTAACTCGAACAAGATTCGAACGAAAATTAAAGACCTCACAGTACACGAGAGATGAAAGCAGAACGAGATGGGAACGAAAGAGGAAGGAGAGATGAGAGCAGAACGAAAGATGAGAGAGAATGAGGGATGAGAGAGAACGAGAGCAGGGCAGAACCAGAGATGAGAGAGAAGGAGAGCAGAACCAGGGAGAGTGAAATAAAAAGGCGGATTAAAGAGATATAGCAGCCCGATTTTTTTTTTTAATTTCGCACCGGTTTGAACCGGTGCTAAAACACTATTTCGCACCGGTTTGGACTGAACCGGTGCGAAATCCTTTCCACCTTTTTTTTTTAAATATTTCGTAATTCGCACCAGTTTGAACCGGTGCGAAAAAATTGATTTCGCACCGGTTTATTAGGAACCGGTGCGAAAAGTATTTTCCCCAATCCCGCCCATTTCTTTTCCCACCGGTTTCAAGAACCGGTGCGAAAAGTGTGCTGCGTAATTAATTTTTTTACTAGTTGATGTAAAACATGAGCTGAAACATAAGAAAGAGGACATATCTTTGTCCGAATTGGCTACACATCTTCAAGTTGAAGAGGGGATAAGAGCCATGGAAAGTGTTAAGGATGGGAATCCTAGCATATCCACCATATTGTGGTGGAGGAAGGAAAATCTAGTGCTTCAACAAGTGGTAAGAGAAAGAATAACAATTCTTTCAAAGGCAAGTACATAAACAAAATGAATAACAACAAGTTCGCTTGTTGGGAATGCGGTAAGGTTGGACACTACAAGAAGGACTGCTACATTTTCAAAAGGAAAATGGAGAAAGCCAAGGAGGGTCGTACTTCCAATAGCAAGGACGCATCCACCAAAGGTAATCCTTTACATGAGGTTGAATTTAATTCCGTTTTGGATTTAAATGCAGCGGATCCTAACATTTTTATGGTGCAGGATGATGACTCATGGTGGGTTGACCCGGGGGCTTCTAGGCACGTATGCAAGATGAAGCTTTGGTTCAAAATCTTTCATAAGGTTGCTGATGGAGAAGACCTCTTTATGGGGAATAACTCAATCATCAAGGTCCTTGGAAGAGGACAAGTGGAGCTAATGTTTAGTTCGGGGAATGCGATCATTCTTAGGGATGTGTTGTATGCTCTAGAGATTAGTAGAAATCTTGTGTTCGGTCTTACCCTGAATAGTCTTGGTTACAAGCTAGTGTTTGAAGCTAATAGATGTATAATTACTAGAGGTGCTACATTTGTAGGTCGTTGTTACTTGAGTAATGGTTTGTTTAAACTCTCTTTAAGACAAAACTTTGTACTGGATAATGATGTGTGTTTGAATGTTGGAAATGATATTGGTGTGGATTTATTTTATTTGTGGCATTCAAGGTTAGGACATGTTAATTTTAATAAGCTGATTTTCATGTTTAAGAAAGATTTGATTCCACGTGTTATTACTCCTAATAAATGTTCTACTTGCATGTTAAACAAGATCACAAGAACACCTTTTTAAAAGGTTGAAAGAAGTTCTAATATTTTAGAATTGATCCATAGTGACTTGTGTGATTTTCTTAGTACTCCTTCTTTTGGGAATAAAAGATACATGGCTACATTTATAAATGATTATTCAAGGTTTTGCTATGTGTATCTTTTATACTCCAAAGATGAAGCTTTGGTAAAGTTTGATATTTATAAAAGGGAAGTACAAGTTCAAGTAGAGTCATTGATTAAGAGAATAAGAGCCGATAAAGGAGGAGAGTATTATAATCCAACTTATTTCCAATATTTGGGTATAATTCATGAGACTACAGCGGGTTATGCACCACAATCAAATGGTGTAGCTGAAAGGAAAATAGAACTCTTCAAGAAATGGTTAATTCCATGTTATCTTACTCCCACTAAGGGAAAAAAATCTACTCCTTATGAACTTTGGGGTGAAGCAATTTTGACAGCTTGTCACATTCTTAATCGAGTTCCCACTAAGGTAAAAAAATCTACTCCTTATGAACTTTGGTACAAAAGAAATCCAAACTTGAAATACTTGAAAGTTTGGGGTTGTAGGGCAATTGTGAGAGTGCTCGGTAACAAAAAGAGAAAGCTCGGTGAAAGGGGCTTGGAATGCATTTTTATAGGTATGCTGAGCATAGTAAAACCTATAGGTTCTATGTAATAGAACAAAATGACTATATATCGATACATTAGATTATTGAGTCAAGACATGCAATTTTTTATGACCGATTTTCATCAATGAGTAGACCAAAAGATCTACAAATAAGTGCCAATGATAGGGAGATAGTAGAGTTGAATGATCAACTTGAAACTCATGAAGATTCATTCGATAATGAGAATGATGAAACTTCTCAAGTTAGGAGAAATACTAGGAAAAGGAGACCTAAGAACTTTGGTGATGACTTTATAATTTATTTAGTTGAAGGTTCTAGGGATGTCCTTAGTTTAACTACTCCATATTGTTTTAATGTGGATAGTGACCTAAAGAGTTATAGCGAAGCAATATCTTCTCAAGATAGTGAATTTTGGAAGGAAGCTATAAATGATGAGATGGATTCCATCATGGGAAATAATACTTGGGTATTAGAGGATTTACCTCCCGGTTGCAAACCTCTTGGTTGCAAGTGGATTTTCACTTGGAAAAGGAGACCGGATGGTTCCATAGTGAAATTTAAAGCCAGATTGGTTACCCAAGGCTTTAGGCAAAAGCGTGGTGTTGATTATTTCGATACCTATGCACCAGTTGCAAGAATTACTTCCATAAGGTTATTGATTGCAATGGCTTCAGTTTATAATCTAGTGATTCATCAAATGGATGTCAACACAACATTTTTGTATGGTGAACTAGAGGAAGAAGTGTATATGAAACAACCCGAAGGGTTTGTTTTGGTAGGAATAAGGTGTGTAAATTGGTTAAGTCTTTGTATGGACTCAAACAAGCACCAAAGCAGTGGCGTCGGAAATTTGATGACACAATATTGTCCTTTGGATTCAAAGTGAATCAAGCAGATAAGTGTATATATAGCAAATTTGATGACAAAGGGCATGGTGTTATCATTTGTCTATATGTTGATGATATGCTTATATTTGGTACAAGTCTACAACAAGTAGAAATGACCAAGGAATTCTTGTCCTCATCTTTCCAGATGAAGGATTTGGGGGAGGCGGATGTCATTTTGGGCATTAAGATTATTAGGGACAACGGAAGACTTATTTTAAGTCAATCTCATTGTATTAAGAAGATGATCAAACGGTATAATATGTTTGATAAGAATCCTGTGAATACCCCCATGAAATCTAATGTTAAATTGGTTAAGAATCCGGGGAAAACGATTTCCCAATTGAAATTTTCAAGGATGATTGGATCCTTGATGTATGGCATGATAAGTATAAGACCGGATATTGCATTGGCTGTAGGAAAACTTAGTAGATTTACTAGTAACCCAGGTGTACAACATTGGTTTGCAATTCGGAGGGTCTTGAGGTACCTTAAGGGTACATTGGCTTATGGTTTGAGTTATAGTGGATTTCCTTCGGTTATAGAAGGGTATATATTCTGATGCATGTTGGATCACTTACAAAGAGGATGACTCTTCTGTTAGTGGTTGGGTGTTTATGTTTGGGGGAGGTGCCATTTCATGGTCTTCCAAGAAACAAACTTGCATTGTCGATTCCACTATGGCAGCGGAGTTTATAGCTTTAGCTTCAGCTAGTAAGGAAGCTGAATGGTTGAGAAATCTCATGTTAAAATTGCCTTTATTGCCAAAGCCTATGTCACCGGTCACTAGTAGAAAAAATGAAATAGGCACCCCCCCTTTAGCACCGGTTTTTGAAAACCGGTGCCAAAAGAAATGGGCGGGATTGAAAAATTCGGTTTTGGCACCGGTTCGCCTTAAACCGGTGCCAACTATGGTATTTAGCACCGGTTCAAACCGATGCGAATTAAAAAAGACAAAAAAACCAAAAAAAAATATTAGATTGGCACCGGTTAACCGGTGCCCATTTAGTTTTATAAACCCTTAACCTAGGCTACCCCCTCTTTCTCTCTCATCCGCCTTTAGTTTTCCATCTCTTCCTTCTCTCTCTGTTCTTCTTCTAGCTCTTATCTTTGTTCTTTCTCTTATTCGCACTCTCTTCTCTTTTTTTTTTCTTTTAATCTTCTCTCTCATCTCTTCTGTTCGTTCTAATCTCTCTTTTCTCCCTTCCTTCTGATGTTTTGTTCATTTCTCGTTTTCTTTTATTTCTCTCGTTCTTCTTACTCTTCTCAACAATCAACGACACCAACACAACAACCATCGTCGCCGCCGTCAATTATAACTACCATGCAAGGTATTTTCTTGAATTTTTTGGTTTTTTCTGTGTTTAAATTTCTGGGTTTCTGGGTTCGAAATTTTTTTGATTTTTTTAGGTTTTTCTAGGTTCGAATTCCTGGTTTTTTTTTCTTGGTTTCTTAGTTTTTTGAATTTTTTTGGTTTTTTCTGTGTTTAAATTTCTGGGTTCGAATTTTTTTCGATTTTTTTGAGTTTTTCTAGGTTCGAATTCCTGGTTTTTTTTTTCTCGGTTTTTTCTTGGTTTCTTAGTTTCTTGAATTTTTTTGGTTTTTTCTGTGTTTAAATTTCTAGATTTTTGGATTCGAATTTTTTCGATTTTTTTGGGTTTTGTAGGTTCGAATTCTTTGGATTTTTCTAGGTTTTTTTGTTTCTAGTTTTTTGTTGGTTTTTTTCTTGATTTTTCTTTGTTCAAATTCTGGGTTCGAAATTTTTTCGATTTTGTTTGGGTTTTTCTAGGTTTGAATTCCTGGTTTTTTTTTTTGTTTTCTCTCAATTTTTTCTGGGTTTATTAGTTTCTAGGTTTTTGTTGGTTTTTTCTTTGTTCAAAGTTCTAGGTTTGATATTTTTTCGATTTTTTTAGGTTTTTCTAGGTTCGAATTCCTCGGTTTTTTCTAGGTTTATTAGTTTCTAGGTTCTGGGTTCGAAATTTTTTCTGATTTTTGGTGGTTTAATTTAATTGATGCAGGTAGTATTACAACTGCAGCGATTTCTCATAGACGAAGGATTCAAGATTCAAGGATTTTGGTGTTTTGTTGTTCATTGTTACGTTTTTATTTTTTATAAATTGTAAAATAACAATTTATTTGATATATATATTCATGTATATTACGATTTTGGTGTTCACTGGTGATTAATGCTGATACGATTCTGGTTTTTTTTTTTTAGGGAAACGATTTTGGTGTATGTTTCTGCTGATTTTGAAGTGTAAAATATTACAATTTTTTTTTTAATTTTTAAGGGCAGAATAGGC